TAATGTCGTATTGATAACAATATTATTAGAACTCAATTATATTTTCTAATTAATCGATTATAATTTTGTTTGATCATGCTGTTACACAATGATTTAAAACGAGGAAATTGCCCTACTGATTTTTTATTGTTCATTTGCGTTTCTAAAATTTGAGTTTCATATAAATTTGATTGAAAATTGAAATATGTAAATTTGCAATATCCTGTGTATACCAGTACATAGGAATTGAGATTCTTTTATTGTAAAATTAATACTTTAGAATTTAGTAACTAATAAACATTTTTTACGAAGTATTTATATATTGAGTTATATTTAGAGTTATATTTTGTGTTATTTTTAATTTAATTAATATTTATGATTTTTAAATGAAATATGTGGTATTGTGGTAATACAATATTTTTAAAAGTTTTTTCACTAACTTAAAAAAATGTACCTACCGCATTGAATCACAACTCACAAGATATCTATATAATTTGCTTATTTTAATCATGGCAAACAGTTAGTAATATTATATTATTTTATATACCTACACTATCGAAATGTTCATTATAGGTGCCTATACCTATTACCTAGACAAAGTTAGCATTTTGAAAAAAAATATGATGATGATGACCCTTTGACGTTAGTATATATATCCGAGTGTTCACTTTTCACAATTAAATGCAGAGAAGTAAAAAACAACTTGGTAAAATATGTTTTTTTAAAATTGGTTTACGCATGCTGCCGTGCTTTTTATTAAACATTAATTACTTTCTCTGGTTCCTGATACATTTTTGTAATGAAGGAGGGGTATTAATACATAAGTCACCTTACAAAAACTGCCACTGCACCGTCAATTGGCTCACTGGCAGTGCCTGTTCGAGTGATGGTTTAAACAGTTCATCATGATCTAGTCAACTAGTGGTTTAAAATCCCTTAAAAATATCAACAAAAAAAATACCTTATTTTAAAAATGCATTTATCTAATAAAAAATGTAAAAAATGACCTTTTAAAAATGTATTAAACATATTATAAAATAGTGTAAATACGTTTATAAATATAAAAAAATTAAATTTGAATAATTACATTTGTATTACACTATAGACTATAGAGTATAGGTACGATGATAATTAAATTTTACTTGATGTTATTTAGTTCAAAATGAAAATGATTTATACTACGTTATACTAATTACTGTGTTTATATTTCAATGAAGTCAATTTGTCTAGTCATAATACAAAAAATAGGTAAAAAATGTCTTAAAAAATGCAAAAAAGTTTTTTAGTCCCAACTTACAACATATGGAGTAGGTACATTGTACTTGAAACACATTTGTTGATTGGAGAACATTGTGTAAGACATTCCAAAAAAAAAAAAATGCAAATTCATTGAAATACGACCACTAATCATAACTATAGTTATTACGGGGTATTGACTGGTGAATATACAAATTTAATTTACAATAAAAAACTGAAAATTTTGAATGACTGGTGGAGGAGGGTTTGCTTAAATAAACAAGTTTGCATGGATTTCAATAGGAGACCTCGTGGCGCAACGGTAGCGCGTCTGACTCCAGATCAGAAGGTTGCGTGTTCAAATCACGTCGAGGTCAATTCTTTTTTCGCAATTTTTTTCTGTTCCACGTTATTAAGATTCAAATATAAGATTGTTATTATATTATTATAATATAATATTCTCAGTCAGAAGTTGATTTACTTAACCTATTCTTCTTGTAATATTTAATTTTTAAAAACCTATTCAATTTTTTTTCAATGTGTAGTATTATTTAGTCAATGATGAATTTTTATATTTTATATATTACCTACTAACTACAAAGAATTTACAAAATATAATTGTTAATTTGCTAAATCTCGTAAATATTTGATAAAACAACTGGGAATTATTTAATTTTTACCTCCTTCGTATAGACATTAAATCAACTTTTTCTTTAAATTTAACTTTAAAATGTAATATGTATAGGTAATTAAATGTTGAGTATTAAGAATTTTTTAATTAATTTAAAAATGTAAGAAAGACGATTTAAAGTATATGTACTCGATGGACGAATTCAATCGGGTTTTCTGGCATTTTATCGGAAACTAGCTTAGTTAATATAATATTGTCTATTGGTACAACTTTGATACTTTCAAAACCTAATCATTAAATTCAAGTAGGGTGTTATAGCGATCCACTATATCGTTTTATATAGGTATTTCAAATACCGTATTTCTTTTACACTACTTAGTCACTCACACTAATGATCACTTAATAAACTCTTGCACTTAAAAATGCCAATATTGAATTCCTAAAAATGGTCGGTATCGAATACCGTATTAGAATAACTCGACGTTCCCACTTCCCGCAATTGTTAATACTGCAGGGTGCTGTCAGTTGGCGTGTGATTATTTTTCGTATAGGTGGGTGGCTGAAGGTTGCGGCAATAAACACTTAACAGCTCGTTCTGTTGGCCGTTAATCGTTATACGGATTTTCTTTGCCAGCGCGTATTCTTTAGAAAATGTTAGAAACAATTAGTTTGTTGTAAATAAAATATAAATAATGATAATATATAAATATGTATTTTTATATGATACCTAATTAATAAAAAGTGGGTTAGTGGATGTCGCTCTGCTGTACAGTAGGTTAAAATTGGGTCAATGTATAAAGGATTGTATTAAACTTGAATTCAACGATATAATATCATTGTATAAAAAAATTTTCCAGCTTTTCACCCAACGAATTATTTTATTGATATCAAAAGAAAAAAAAGGTTAATAATATATAATTGATAACGTTCTTAACAGCTCAAAACGAGTAACAATATTTCGAACATTTTATCAAGTATAGAAAATGATAAAATAATCATATGGTGTACATTTCAAGTACCTTTTTATGGTTGTTCGCTAATCGCTTTTGATTTACAACAAAATAAGAAAATCGCTCCATGGACCATGATAAATCAAGTGAATATCCAATTTTGTAAAAATGTAACTTTATTTTAACACTCACAACAGTTTAATTTAATTTCCAGTAGTTTTTTTTTTATAAAGGTAGACAAACTTATAAGGAACCTTGTATTCAATTTTCAATTTTTTTTTATCAAGTGAAAATTGTATAAGACTATAAATAGCGTAGTAATAAATTAGTATAAATAATAGATTATTGCCACGTAAGCAATCGGCTTTTAAATAAACCGAATTCACCCCACGCGACCGTCGGCGCCGTGGCTTAGTTGGTTAAAGCGCCTGTCTATAGTAAACAGGAGATCGAGGGTTCGGATCCCTCCGGAGCCTCGCACACGTCAGCGGGACGGCTTACGGATATGGCCGGAATCCTGAAGTTGTGTGTCGTCACATTTTTTTTGCACTTTTTTCCTCGTTGTTTTTTTGTTGCTCGAGTCGTACGATTTCGAAGGTTTTTATCGGCACTACAGCTCAAACGAACATGCTGAAATTATTCAGTACAATATAGTTATGAGACCATCACTTCATAATAATGTTAATATAGTATATACCTTTAATCTAATATAGTAATATAGTCTTTGACACTCTTTGTATAAGCTACGTACACGGTCGTAATATTAAAATTTGAAAATGCTTGCAATTCCCCAAAAAAAATAAAAGATCATAAAAATCCAACTAGAAAACACAGATAATGTTATTATCTAAAAAATTGATAATAGGTCAATTCACTCTAATATCAAAACTAACAGCACACTATTGAAACTGGTGAACGAAAATTGGCCATGTGGCATGTTGTACGCGTGTAAGACGGAGACAACGTCATATAAGGTAGTAAGGTACGAGTCGTACCGTACGACGTGCTGCTCTCAATGAAAAAAGTAAGAACCAAAAGATATTAATATAATTTCTCTTGACTACATGTATACAACGATGTAATGTTGAATTTAATTATTTGGTATCATTATTATTGTGTGCTTATTTTTACGCAAGGTTAGGTACAATATTCAACTTTAGTCCGCGTAAACATTACGCATCATCAGAGAAGGTAGTTCAAAGACGATGACACTCCAAGGTCTCTGATGGATATAGGATCGATCATATTATTATTTTAAATAACCAATTACTATACTTTGCTTGCTGATTAATAATTAATCATTAATTACTGTATCTGCGCGGTTATAGTCATACATTGAAATTAAAACAAAACATATCATTGATTTCATAGATTTACTTACGTCACGTGATCATCACAATTCACAATAACACAATAATGTGACAATATTGTTCGCGTTTAAATGTAAAAAAAGCTATCATCAGTATAAGTGACTACGTGATACATCTAGGTAGTAGCAAGCGATGTATTGATATGCCATATGACTATATGAGGTTGTATCGATATTAAATACACATAGCCACATAGGTACCTTGTTTAATATCAATGGGTAGTTGTGGCATGAACGAATTACGAATCATTATATGTTTAGACTAGTAGTACTAGTGCTCGACTTGGGAGGGGGATGCAGTACCCCAGTAAATTTTTCAGAAATTTTAGCCTACCCCTACTATATTTACAATTATTACTGACTATGCAGGGTGATATACAGGTAGTTAACACATTCGTGGACAACTACTGCTATAGTAGTAATTTTAAAAATTGATGTACATATATCACTACTGCTATGGCAGTAGAATATAAACTGTTAAAATAAACACAGTACTGGTATAGCAGTAATAATTACAATGGTTTCATATGAAACAACAAGTTTTACTGTCCTACTGCAATACTTCAGAAAATTGGGCACTGTATTATATATGTTTTATTTTTAGATTTATTTATCGTTCCTTTTTCTTGGGTTTTTTTTTTTATTTTATTTTTATTTTTATGAACCCTATATTCGATATCATTATCATTATCGCTTTATAATGTTACAATACAATAGTATACAATTGTCTACGCCATATATTTGAACCATAATCCATCGATACGAAGTGTTGTTTATATAAATATTCAGTTCGATTATAAACGTCGTACGTTGTCGGTGTCGCGTGCGACTGAATATGTCACGTAATAATATCGAAAAAGTGCGTAAATATTTAGATGAATCATTTGATTCTACTGAATATTCTGATCAAGATGATTCAGATGTTGACCCAGATTTTTCGTTACAAAGTTCGAGACAAGATTCATTATCAAGAGCAGGGCCGTCTCATACAAATACTGGGAGTGACACGAGCAATGAATCGTTCGAGGTAAGCTCAAGTGATTCAGATAATAATGATTACAATAATGCTAATAATAATGGTAATGATGATCAATGGTATGAGAATTGGGAAGATATACCAGACTTCCAATTTGACAGTAGTATGTCAGGAATAAAGCTAAATATACCTGATTCCGCAAGAGATAACCCTTTAGAGATATTCGATATGTTATGGACACGTGAAATCACTGATATGGTTGTATCCTCGACAAATAATTATGGTGTAAAATTGACTTCACAAGTCATCCACATAAAAAAAACTGTCGTATAGCTGAGTTTAAAAAAGTTGATGGGGAGGAAATAAATAAATTTTTGGCCATTTGTTTACTCTCTGGATCTATGAAATTTTCCGTAATCAGAGATATGTTCTCATACAATCCGCTATATTATCATCCTATCATACCAAGAACTATGTCGGGTAGACGTTTTGAACAGATTTTAAGATGTTTTAGTGTTGAATATTATGACACAGAAAAAGTAAATAGTACAAATGATCCAATAAAAAAAATTGAACCAATTTTAAAAAAACTTATAAATAATTTTCAACTAGCATATATTCCATATGAATGTCTATCACTTGATGAATCGCTTTTACTACACCGTGGTCGCCTTTTATTTCGACAATATATGAGACTTAAAAAAGCACGGTATGGTATAAAGTTTTTCGAGCTCTGTACACCCGATGGATTTGTTCTAAACATGGAGATGTATAAAGGAAAAAGAGAAGAAATTCAAGTTGGTTCTACATCAAAAATAAATAGTTTAGTTTTTCGTATTTTGGAAGCTTTTCTTGATAAAGGGCATACAGTGTTTATGGATAATTATTATAATAGTATAAGTCTTTCAAGAGAACTCCTAAATCGAAAAACACATACAACAGGAACACTGCGCAGTAACCGTAAAGGCAACCCAAAATGTGTAACCACAAAAAAGTTAAAATCTGGGGAATATATTTGGCGTCGACAAGAAAACATTTATGTATCTAAGTGGAAAGATAAAAGGGATGTATTAGCGATAACTACAAAGTACCATCCACAGCTTTTATCATCCAAAAATCGATTCGGAAATGAAAAAAATAAACCAAATGAAATTATTCAGTATAATAATAATATGAGTGGTATAGATAGGTCAGACCAAATGGTAAAATATTACAGCAGCCCACGAAAACAATCACGATGGTATAAAAAAGTTTTATTTCATCTGTTAGATATTACAGTGTGGAATAGTTTTTACCTATACAAAAAACATTTTGGCTGCAATTCTATGACTTTTAAAGATTTTCGCGATATTTTAATAAAAAATATGATAAACCTTCCAATAGATGTAACAGCTAATCAAATTTTTAATGCTCCAAAATCAAAAGATCCAAAAAACAAACGACCAATGTCAGAAGAAGGACAACACTATCAAGAAAAAATCCCATTACCTCCACTGTATAAAAGAAAACATTACTTCAAAAACTGCAAAATGTGCACAAAAAAACACGTGAGGAAACAAACCCAGTATCAATGTAAAGCTTGTAATGTTCCACTGTGTCCCGGTTCATGTTTCGAAGACTTTCACAAAAATATGTCATAAAAAATTATTTCATTATTTTATATTTTATTGGTTCAATTTATATAACTATATAAGACTATATTTTAATTTTTTTTTTAATTTCATACTATTCTTTTTCAAAATTTGTCATACAAAATAAACCAGGTTGAGTTGAATTATTATTTTTATTTTATTATTTAAAAAATATAAATTATACTGCTATAGCAGTGCAGTGATGTACATAGTTGTAAATAGCAATGCAGAGGGACAGTACTGCTATAGCAGTACCCAAATTATTACTGCTATAGCAGTAATAATTATGTGCGTTTTTAAAAGTAGTTTTTTCCCCTACCGAAAATTTCAACTGTCCACGAATGTGTTAAGTATAATTTCAAACTAACAAAAATATTTTTAATAAGTATACTAATATATAACTAAAAGAGTATAAATAAATTGTGTTCAAAATATTCTACCTTTATACCTACAGCTCAAAGGAAATAGTATTATTTTAAAGAATTTAATAAAAATCTCGATGGATTGTTTTTAATAATTTTCAGATTTAAATTCCAGTTAATAAACGAATGTACGATATCGCCCGTCAGAGTGGGCACTGCAGGGCAGCGTAAGTTTTGGTTCTATTTTTCCTTCGATATGCAAACTGCAAATTCATCAACGATCATCGGATCTGCACATGATCCATATTGGAGTTCCAAGAGTGTCTCCATTAAGAAGACGATACACTGTAATTTTTTGTCTTCGTCTTAGAAGTGAGTAACATAGTAAATTTACATTCAGGAGAACGAGTTTACCTCTGTTAGTTTAAAAATTAGAGTGAATCGACCTATTATGAAACTTGATGGTAAGTATATTATCTGTGTTTGTATGTGGGTTTTGTACCATGGTTACATTTTTTAGTAATAGTTATGCGTATATAATACAGTGTAAATTAAAAATGCTCACAACTCACTTAAAAACTGAATTATCGTAAAAAACCCACATACAAACCCAGATGTATTTACCATCAAGTTTTATAATAGGTAGGTCAATTCACTCTAATTTTTTAACCAACTGAGTGAAACGTCATCTGCTGAGCGTAAATTGTATTTGGTATGCTATACACTTGTAAGACGCGGAGACAACAAATATCTGTGAGTAGCGTCCTATTAATGAATATCATCAGTTATATACCAGTAACTACAAGTTACAACAACGACGTTGATGGTGACCAGAAAATCATTGGGCTCCTCATGTACCTATATATAATATATATTATGTTGATGTATTACTGAAAAGTATTATCCCCCCCCCCACGAACATGTTCAGCGGGGCCCATTATCTTCTTGAAGAATAAATAAAAAAAAAATAAATATACCAAGGGAAAAAAATCAAAACAAAATTGTAGATACCGCAGAAGGTGTGGTTAATGATTATACGTTATTACTTATTAGTTATTAGATATAAGTTGCAACTATATATTATATAAAATATATACTAATAACCACCAGAAAAACAATTACCAGCCAATAATAAACAATACACGTACATGGACAAGAACGATATAATATTATATAATATGATAGTCATGTCTATAGTCTATATAATATTTTATATTCTATATAATTATTATATTTGCGGAAAACGTGGTTGCTGGTGTAGGAAAACGTGCGTGTCAAAAATGAGTGATCATTATTTAGCTGTCCACCACAAATTACAAAGAAAAACATTCAAAAACAATAGGATCGAATATTTTATATTAAAATATTATATCATAGACTAGATGATCCCGTACACTTCGTTGCCCGTTAAATTTACTAACTCTATATGACTCAAAATTTGTTCAATTAATTATTTAATATTCGGTTGGGGTATTCAAAACGTATCTTAATTTGTCCGGTGCTCGGAAAAAAATTGTGATTGTTCAACTTTTTTAGGGTGTAACACGCTGTGGAAGCAATGTCTTTGTGTAAATGATATTATATATTTTGAACGTATAGCCATCTCGACCGGCGTTGTCCGTGAGATTCGCTGCAGTATATATCAGGTAGGCAGTCTACCTGCTGTAGATAGAGGACCCCGTGCTGTTTGTACGTAAGTGTATAATTTAACTCTAATAAGTATCAAAGTTATATCAAGTTTGTCGTTCTTACTTAATTCAACCTACGGCTAATTAATATAATCAATTAATACAAAATCCTAACCTAACCTAACCGTACTAAAATCCAATGAATAAAAAAAACTCAAGGTTAGGTTAGGTTATTAGATTCTATCTCTGTACTAAATTTCTTCGCAATCGGTCCAGCCGTTTAGGAACGCATATAAAGTACACAATCACACAAACATTCATTTTTGGTGGTTCTTTAGACCATTTCAATGCATTACAGAAGTTGCACTTTAAATTCATAGTTCCTATAGTTCCTATATTTCTATAATCATTCGATTTATTATAATTGAAGAAGGACATGTTATTGATATAATTTTCAACTATATTCTTTCCTAGACTTTTCAATTTTTTACATACCTGTGAGCCTACACGTCTTACAAATGGCGCACTTATTTTTATAAAAAACAATTTTTTTAATGTGATTTTGTCATGGCAGGAATGCTTGAGAATATTTCTTCTGCCCCCGATGATTCGTAAATTTGTGTTTTAACCACCTGTGATCCGTATTTCTTCTATAGTATATTTCATTAATCACTATACTTATGTTATACAGGTTTTTTATCGTATTATTATTTGTGATATTTATAATACTGAATGTACTCGATGTAGGATCACAGGTTTCCACACCACCTATGCTCGTTAAACGACATAATATCACATCGCCCATGGCCCATGTTGTTTAAAAGCATGAGATATTACACGTGGAGCGTTTTTTTTTGTGGTGTCCCCTGTAGCCTGTAGGTCTGCTCCACATTGTAAGCGAGAACACACGAACGCCGTTCGACTGCAATAATATTGTAATATTTACATAGATCGGTACAGTGAAAACTACGCTTCTCTCGTAGGTACAGCATAATATGCGTTATTTATAATATATCAATAAAACAAATTTTAATATAAATAAATATGGAATTTAACGTTTTAGATTCTGAGTGGAACAATGAATGTATTGATTTTACAATGATGTGTGTTTTTATATTTTTTTTTTAAATTTATTTTTGTGTCTGTGTACACGATAAGTAGTCGAAATAATGCTTCGATTTTCGACTTCAGTATCTTGTTCGATTGGAAAGTGAATATCGTTGGTGCATTGGGGAGGTCAAAATTTAAAATTCCCAGTACTTTTTAAAAGCGCCAAGAAGAACAAAAGAAAAATTAAGGAAAAACGGGAATTTTTACGCAAAATCGATTTTTCAGAAAATTGAATTTGGTTTTTGGTGTAACTTTAAAACAAATAACCGTAGATACATGAAATTTTCACTGGTTGTTTATATTTGAATTTTCTATACATGATAACATTTTCAAAATATTTTGATTTATTTTGAACTGTTTAGGAACATTTTCATTTTTCATTTTTTTTTAGTTTTTTTTCTAGAAATATCAATAAAATTTTATTTGTTGGTTAAAAAAACTTGAACATTTAATAGAAGGCTCCTAGTATATTGTTTCAAAGGCAGATGAAAAAATATTAAAAATCGTTAGTCACAGTTTTTTTTTTATAAGCATTTAAAGTTCAAAAATTGACAAAATATGGAAAATTCACGAAAATTAGCAAATTATTTTGAGTTAAGAATTCGTAAAAATTTTTCTTTTTAAATCTAAGATTTGAAAATGTAATACAAGATTACTCATAAGTTTGTCTACCTTTATGAATAAAAAAATTCTCTACCGGACAGTCAAATTAAATTTTTATGAGCGTTTGAAATTCAAATTTTTACAACATTGGATGTTCACTCGATTTCTCATGTAGCGATTTCCTTATTTTGTTGTTATTCATAAACGAATAACTATAGATACATGAAAATTTCACTGAATGTTTATATTAGAATTTCCTATACACCATACAATTTTGAAAATATTTTGACTCTTTTTGAGCTGTTTACGGATATTTTCATTTTTCAATTTTTTTAGTTTTTTTTTCTATGAATATCAATAAAGTTTTATCTGTTGGGCCAAAAAGTGTAAAAATTTAATACAAGGCTCCTGATATATTGTTACAATATCAGTTGAAAAATATTAAAAATACATAGGCACAATTTTTTTTTATAAGCATTTAAACATCGAATTTTGACAGAATTTTTCAAAATCTCGAAAATTATTAATCATAGTAATTAATAAATTATAAAATGTTCAGTTTTTATAGCTAAGGATTGAAAATTTAAAACAAAGGTTCTCATAAATAGTTCATACTATAACCAAAAAATCTAAAAAAACATATGAACACAGTTATTTTTTACAGACATTTTAAATTCAAATTTGGACGAAATTACATATTAAAATCAATATTAACGATCTTTGTTTTTGTTGTAATTTAAAAATATTATTCGGGGATATATGAAACTGAAAAATCAAAATATTATGACCTATCCATACAATCTACCTTAGTATAAGGAATAAGAATTATGCTCATGATAATACTGTGCATATTTTAAGGAATTTATTCATAAATTCCATATAATTTAATACCATAGAAAAGTATATAATATGTCTTATACCTAGACTGACATACCGTCTCCGCTCAGAATCGTTTTTCTTATACAATGATATTATATCATTGCATTCAAATTTAATACCATCCATTATACAGTGACCCACTTGTAACCTACAGTACAGCAGAGCGACATCCACTTACCCACCTTTCTTAGGTTTTAATTTTATCACAGCACAGAATTCACACATTTTCGGATTACTATAGCGTTGAATTTTAGTGTGTTTCAGCCTGTGCTGGCTGCTGAAGAGATTCAAATTTTTCACATGGTATTATTATATAAGTCCAAGAGGCGTAAAAATGGGTTAAAATATTGCAGGTGCCTATACGGGTTTTGTAACAGAAATCAAGTAAAAAATATTGTGGGTTTCGGGTCCCGTATTAGAAACCGGG